TATTAAAATTGATTGAACATCGATATTTCAATTTAAGAAATTTGGCCCGAATACTCATAACGTTACGCAATAACCCAAATTGTAAAAGGTATAAATAACAAAAAAAATTTACTCTATTGTAAAAATTTTGGTATAAAATTTTACTTATAATACACACTTATTAATGTTAAATATATGAAATTTGTAAAAAGTATAAATAACAAAAAAATTTACTCCAAGTAAAGGTTTTCGGCATAAAATCTTTATTTATAATACACAGACCTATATTTTTGTATCGAATTCCAAATACAGTAAACTATTGTATGTAACATTTATGCATTCTACACAAACTATAAATTGTGTGACATAAGAATTCAACGTTAAAGATGAAAACTCAAACTTTAGTTGTATATTTTTGAGATGAATAATAATATCCTTTCATTACTTTACAAATCTTATAATAATAGTGCTAATGAATCTATAACCACGATACAAGAAGAGCCTGAAGATATTATTATTATTATTCATGTGGGTGATACTGAAGAAAAACATGATGCCGGAGATATTTGGCCTGATATGATTCTTTCGGAAGTGCGCAAGCTTCTCGAACATAATAATAATATTTATATGGGAGAAAATATGAAATTTCTCACAACTAAACAAGCCCAAATTAGTTTCGAAAAAGAAGAAGAATATAAAGTATCTAAAATCCTTGATCAAAATAATTGCATCCATATCCTCAAAGATTCAACAAAACCAAGTTTTTTCCAATTCATCAATAAGTATCATCTTATTCGTGGACGTTATCTTACATCTGACGGTATTGAAGTCAAAACTGCACAGCAAAATGCATTTAAATTTAAAACGAATTGTAAAATTTCTTCTCGACTGGAACTTTCTAATAATGAATGTTTGACCGCTTATTCAGAAACATGCAGAAGAGAACTTGACTGTATATTTGTAAAACATCTTATTTCAAAAGCCAATGCAACGGTTCTTTTGCCACCTTATTCATTTAAAT